TCTCCCTCCTTCTCTCCTCTATATCCTATCTGTTATAGTTGACAACATTTGCAATGCTCTTCCTCTAGCCAAGCTAGGACAAGTGAATCCTACAGTGAGGCTATTGCTGTATGGATCATTTGGAAAAAGATGTAGAGTGAGCTAATATTAATGCCTGTTTCTGTCATATCCTAACCCCAAACCTTGCTTTGTCCTAATGGATAAGTGGAACTGAAATCCAGGAAGTTGAAAACACTCACTCTCACACACGTAGGGTCATTCACAAATAAAGTTTCTCATGCCAGAGCACTTGTGTCAAAGCACAAGTTGTGCTCTTTGAAGCTGCTAGTATATTAAAACTGTAAAACAGCACCACCTTCAGTTAAAATTGTTAATATATTTCACTGATGTTATTAATTAAAATAGAAATACATTCAGAACTGGTTCTTATTATCCCATTGTTATATATAGCATCCCTTTGTCTCATAAAGCCCCAACTTTGCTAACACTGGTGGAGATGAATCAGTGTGAACAACTGTGAGGAATTTTCTAAAAAATTCCATAGTGTAGACTGCGCCTCAGTGTCTGTATACTAAGTCCAAGACAGCTGGACCTGGAATAAATGAAAGTCTTAATTCATTCAAGGGGCTCTGATGAAGTAACAAACCACAAGAGGAAAGATAAGGCATTTCTTTTAGATGGCAGCAGAATTCCAAATGTAAAATCATCCATATATTTATTCCTGTCTCTCCAGTGGTTATACAGTATATAAATGGTAACTTTAAAATATAAAGGGCTAGATTTTTTTAAAATGTTGTGCAGGTTTCTAGTGAGGTACCACAGGGATCAGAGCTAGGCCAAGTCTTCATTACTGATCATGGAAAGGGAGTAAACGCTACAATAAGGGAATTTTCAGATGATATGAAATTGGAAGCTGTTACCGAGTCCTGCAGGGGCAGAGCAGAGGTGTTTCATTAAGACAAGGTAATCTGAATTCATTCATCTGACGATAGAAATGAGATCTAACTAAAACCAAGCCTAACATAGATGATGTGCTCATTTACAAACCATAAAAGCCTAAAGAGTTCATTAAAGGAGATCATCGATACCTTGTCGGCAACGGCGATGAATATTCCAGATTTGCCATCCTGCGAGACTTCAGCTTCCATGCTGACAACACCTCAGATTAAAAAGCCCCAAAACGCATTTCCTCACTTGCCTCCCTAGCACTTTCACATGTCATCTCCAGTCCAACCCATACAGCTAAATGTCATTATAGACTACGTCATGACCCAGCTACTATCTTGGAAAGACAGTCATCTCATTAAGGAAATGATCACAGCTCTCCCAGTTCTCAGGAAACAAGAAAGACCCAGGACCCTGATATGATTATGAAGACTCATGGAGCCCATCAAATTTCAAAACATGCTTAAGAACAGCAGCATATCATCATCATGCTCTAGTCTTGACCATTGGCCCAGTGGCGTCCAAGCAGTACCCTCCTCCCCATCACTTACACAGACTTCCTTGGTTCTCTGACACATTGCATCAGATGAAAAGAGAGGTGTGGAAACTTGAATACCAATGTTGGAAAACAAAGGCTGAAACAGACCAGTCAAAACAGAGAGAATCTCTCAAAGCCTATGCTAAAGTAGTATTAAGGTCAGGAAACCTGCCTTTCAGCCTCCATAGGGCAGCCTCTGAAGTTGCTAAGGAGGTATTCAAGGTGGTAAACCTCTTCATTAACCCTGGCTGCCTGGAGTCCACAGCAGAACAAGTACCAAGTGTTGCAAGGAACTATCATCCCACTTCAGTGAAATAATCACATGTTCAGAATGGGACTTCTGAGACTCCATGGAACTTCTCCCCCTATACTGGCCAATGAACAGCCCTTCTGCATTCCCAGAGTTCAGTCCTTTCATGCCTCTAGAAGTACTGGACACCTGGAAAAAGTCTCAGCCCAAACCCTCTGAACCATGACCCTCCTGGTTGGTGAAAGAGTGTCATGAACAACAAGTGCCACTCATCACCAAAATAGCCAATGCCTCACTCAAAGAAGGAATCTTCCCTTTCTCCTTCAAACATGCAGTTGTCCAACCAGTGCTGAAGAAACCCACCCTCACATCAGACCTAGCCAGCTACCACCCAGTATCAAACCTCCTGTTCCTGAGCAAGTTCATAGAGAAGTTTGCATACTGGAAAGATGATCTAGTGGTTAGGGCACTAGCATGGGCTTCAGGAAACCTGGGTTCTGCAGTTCCTATGAAGTAGGGAAGAATTATCTCCTTGTTATAGTTGGGAGCGGAGACACACAGTATAAGTGATGTACCAAAGGTTATGTAAGTGTGCAGCAGATCTTGGAATTGAATAAGATCTCCTGGGTTCCAGTTCAGTACCTGTGTCATGGTTTCTAGAGTAGTCAAGCAGTTAGCCTTTATTTGACCCTGATTGCCAATGGCTTCTGCATGACCTCATGAATGTGGAGGGGTGAGCAAGAGCCTTCTTCCACTGGAGCATCTGTGTAAAGGCTGCTCACAATAGCAATCCCTGAGCCCTCAGCTCTCTGGAAATCAAACCCCCTACTGATTTCTGATCTCTCAGGGAAGAAGTCCATGACAAGGGGGTGGGGAGGAGGCAAAATCATGGCCCTGCTCCTCTCTGCACAGGTCTGTGGAGTGGGGCCGGTGTGCATGGGGGATCAGCACTCTGTCAGTGTAATGGCTGGTGCAAAATATGCAATCCCCATGCACAGAAAGCAGCATCAGAAGAGATTGTGCCTGCCTGTCAGATCAGCCTCACTCCCTATAGGGGCCTGTGGGTAAATGCTACAACCTTCTAGTCCTGTATTATGTGCAATATCAATCCATCTTTCTGCTTAAATAAGTAGATATATTCATGAGTTAGAGGAAACATAGATAATTGTTTTGGTTTAAATCTGCTTTTCTGTAGGCAGTAAGTATAAAGAAATGTCCGGCTTATGTAGTGGACAAAATAGAAGGAAAAATGAGTAATGAGCAAAAAGTGGTTTACTGTGGATGTAATGCAGGAAACAAGAATTAAATGAACATGTGGTGAATCAAGAAAATTTGTAGAAAGCAGCTTTTGCTTTCTCTTAACATCAGGTTTAATATTTTTACTATCACTGTTATGTGTAGATTAAAATTTTTAAGATTAAAAAGTGGCAAAGAGGTAGCTTGTTTCAGCGTAGGAACAGAATAATGGATCTAAGCATAAGGAAAGTGACGACAAACAAAATGTTGATGCCGTTTTCTCTGTCTAGACCCTTCCGTTGAAAGAAGTGTTTTCATAAGACTCAGGCAGAATTCATTTCCATTCAGAGTCCTTAATGGTTCCTGTCAGAACAAAACAGCTGGAAAACATATGGTATCCATTTCCCTGTATCACTTGGAAAAAATTTCACATGTAAATAAAACCAACATAAAAGTGTAACCCTTTGAACCTAGAATCTTATACAATACATAAATAAATCAGTACAATGCGTTCTTTGTATTGGCCCACTAAATTACTTGTCTTGTTGTTGTTATTATTATTGTTATTATTTTCTTTGATATATATTCACAAGAGCCTCCAAAAAAATCAAGGTGATACTCAGACAACTCCAGTTACTAAGCAGTATTATCCTTTTGATTTGTATCTTTAATAATGTATTGAAAACTGTATATTGCTGCTTCTTAAGAAAGGTGTTTGTTACAGATTATGTATATGATCACAAATTAGACCTCACTGATACACTACATTTAGTAATAAATCTACCATGTTTAAAATGTGCCTCCTGAACTTTAGAATGTGCTCGTTCTTTATAAACATTAAAGGTCACCTGGAAAGAAAACATCTAAATTGATTTTAGTGAAAGAAATTTGATGAGTTTCCCACCTCCCCCACTAAAAATATAAATATAAAGGAAACTTAGTACTGGGGTTCCACTGATCCTGGGCACTGGGGTTATGATGAACTGGGACTGTACTTTTTGTAGTTATAGAAGGGTGGAGGATTTTTCTACTGACTAGAACTGGTTGAAAAATTGAGGCGTTCTGCATAAAATTTTCAATCAAAATGGAAAGAAAACCAATAGTTTGAAATTTTCCATGAAAAATACAGAACTGAAATATTTCCACCAAAAAAGCCAGATATTTTGTTTGGGAAACTCTGATGTAATGCCTCATGGGAGCTGAGGTTCAGGTGCCTCATGCTCCCACTCTCCTCTACAAGCTCCCTTGGTCAGAGTACATTTCCTATGAAGCATCACAGTCTTCCTTGTTGGTGAGGTGAAGTGGTGCACCACGGGAGTCCCATGCCTGCAATATATAATGGCGCATAAAGTCAAGCTGGAGCCTGACCCATGGAGGAGAATGGGGATATGAGGCAAGGAATTACAGCTCCCTTGAGGCACCATAGTGGCATATCCAAATAGATATATCTCATTTTCAGACAGAGTCCAAGAACTTTTCAGTTCTTTGATGAAGAATAAAATTTTTCCGCAGAAAGAACAGTTTTTGTGAAGAACTTTTAGTCAAAAATCCAAATTTCCAGTGAAAAGTCAGTTGTGATGGGAAATTTCCAAACAGCCCTATTGCTAAACTCCCAGAAGAATATCCCACTCTTCCAATGAAGCTCAATGAGATAAAAATGGCAAAGCATAGGTTAGCATGGTTTTATGACAGGATTAATGTGGATGCCAATGGACCTTTACCAATTGATGTTACATGCGTCATGTACTTGGGGTTTATATTTTTCTCATTAAATTTGGTTCCGTTCTTTTTGTTTAAGATGTATGTCAAATTTGAAAGGCGTTTCTTTCCAGACTGTTTAATTTTGGTATTACTGTAGCAGAAGTATGGTTAACTGCAAATCTGCTTAGGTGTGAATGCAACATGTTTTCTAGTAAATTTCTGTTCCTTGTGCTTGGTCTGGAATATCATATCTTCAAAGTATACAACAGGATAAACATATACACATGATACAAATATTCTGTTCTTACTCAAATTCCTTTTTTTCTGTAGTTTCAAGCACTAGCTGGAGCTGTGGAGTTTCAACTCTTATTGGAAATGCACAAAAACCAACAGGAATTGCAGACATGTACAGTAAGTTCAGACCAGTGAAGAGGGTTTCCCCACTAAAGCACCAGCCGGAGAGCTCAGAGAACAATGAAAGTGATGACCAAAAGAACCAGAAGGTGGAATACCAGAAAGGTAGCGATTCTCACCCTGCATCTCAGAATGATGATCAGTGTTCAGGAGATGGAGAAGGCCTTAAAAGTAAAAGCATTGAGTCTGGTGTTTTGCTTGGGGAGCTGGAGCACTATGACCTGGACATGGATGAAATTTTGGATGTGCCTTACATTAAATCAAGCCAGCAACTTGCTGCTTTTACCAAGGTGGCTCCAGAGAAAAGGATTTTGGGTGTATGTTCAACAGTGAATGGTCTGAGTGGCAAGACCTGCTCTGCAGGAAACAGTGAGAACTTGCCAGCCAGCACGACACAGTTTTGTGTTCTGTCCCCTGTGAAAAGCTCTCAGATGAGAAATGCGCAGTCCATTGTCCTTAATCAGCACAAGCATTTAGCTGAAGAATTAGGGCTTTCCCAGCCTCTAGTTAAATGTAGCTCAGTCCATGAAACTGAAGCCCAGAGCAAGGGCTTCCTCAACAGGACATTTACCGATCCCCAAGCTCATAAAACTGAAAAGACCATGCCAAACTGCCAGCTGAGGACTTTTCATCTGCAGACAGCCGTGACAGAAAACAAACTTGATGAACTGAACAGTAATATGAACTGGAGCAGCTCAGGAGGCCCAGAGGAAAGGGGTGAAGACGTGAAAAAAAATAAAAGCATCTTAAACATTGTGAAGGAAGGACAGATATCATTATTGGTAAGTGTCATCCTTTTCATAAGGCATTTATAATAAAACACATTTGTAAGACAATACAATAAGTCGACAGTTGATTAGGTGCATATCATACGTTGCAACTCCATTTGATCGCCTTTAATTAGAAACTGAGTGCATGGGTTTCCAAATGAAACTTGTGGAGTTTATGTACAAATATGATATTTAATCTTAGGTAGTCATGATGGACAAGATTAGTAATTTAGGTAATACACTGAAATAATATAAAATGCAGATGCTTTTCATCTTAAAATCTATTTATTTGCTAAATTAAAATTTTTTTCTTTATGAAGTTCTGCCTTACAGAATGTTTGCAGTTCACTTTGTTCAGTTATTTGTGGATTACATCACTTTCTACTCAGATGCTGACCATGGGAACAGAGAGGCTTCTGTTGTATTCTGATTATTATTCAGGAGTGTTTATGCCAGTTTGTTGCAGAAGCATTCACAGATGGGAGCTCACACTAAAGCTTGATTGCCCTCTGACCCATATGAAGTTTTGGTTAGTTCCAGCTCTTTGATTAGAAACCATGAATAGGTGTTTCCAAAGTAACTAGTTGCAAATTAACGTCATGATGCAGGGAAGGCAAGACTCAGAAAGGCTGTCAGAGTAGCAGTGCCTGCAGTATTTTGTACTATCTTTTGTTTAGCTTTACCAGTCTAAAGCAAGCACAATGGCACATAATTAACACAACAACAAAGACAAATGCAGAGTTATTCAAAGACTAGAAATAGGCAGAGGAATAGATCACAATACTAAAAATAATAAAAATAGAATTCAAAAAACTGGAAGTAAAGAAATGCAGAGGATTTTTGTATAGAACACCTAACTGAATCAGATTGTGTGCTAGATAATCTGCATAACCATATGATCTTGTCACTGTTACTCCTTACCTTTGTCCTGCCTTCTTCCTCTCCCTCCCGTTATTTCTGAAAAACAGTTATGTTTTGTCTTAAAATAAGATTCAGGCAAGGATCACATATTGCCAAATGTCTGTGCATTGGTTAATCCAATAATTCAAAGCACTATTGCAATATAAATAATATTAAGGGAACTAGCTAACAAAGTAGCATTCAGAAGTTTCAGAGCTTAATTACATTTTTCACTGTACTTAATATAAACTGCCACTTTTACCATGAACTAGGAAAAAATCTGACCTTTTTCAATTATTTGTCCTCCTAGTGGCACATGAAACTGGGGGGGCGGGGGGGGGGAGGGGAAGCATGGGCAAATTTGCTAAGGGGAGTCATGGACACTTTATGCCAAATTACTCCTAGAGTTAATGGCAAAAAAGAAAAGGGACAAATTTAAAAAAACATTTGAAATGTGAGTATATTCTGTCAGATAAAGTAACCAGAAACTATACAGAAAGGCCAAACCACAGGACATGACCTTTCTCTGTATATGGGAATCTTGTTAGGAACTGCTGAATCAGACCAACAGTCCTTCTAGTTTCTGATTACACCAGCACCAGATGCTTTAGAGGAAAGTGTAAAACCCCTGTTATGGACAAATGTACAATAACATGTGGATGGAGAATGGTTCTTCATAGGCCCACGTATTAAGTGTTTGGCTCATATCCTGAACCATGAGACTTGATATCCTGTTTAAATTTTTATCCCAAATTGCATAACTGATATACTTTATTTTCCACTGTTCCTTTTTGCACAGCCACACCTAGCAGCAGACAATCTGGACAAAATTCATGATGAAAGTGAAAACAATCTGTTGCACATAGCAGCATCACAGGGACATGCAGAGTGCTTGCAACATCTCACTTCTTTGATGGGAGAAGACTGTTTGAATGAGCGGAACAATGAACAACTAACACCAGCTGGGTTAGCAATAAAGGTGACTTGGTCTTAAATAATCTGTGATGGCTATAAATAATGCTAATACCAAAATGATGTTATTTTCAGTCCTTTTGCTAAATTAAAGCAAAAAGGGGGTATTTCTGTCATTGATTGATGTCACATAAGTAAATAAAAATGTGTTTCTTTTAAAGAGTTAATGTCAGCCATAAACCACTGCATCATTTAATGGGTCGTTGTTGGTTTTTTCACATACACATTAACCTAACTTTAAATTAGTTAACTGGTATTAAGAAAAATCAGCTGTTATATTTCAAGGAACTTTTATTCATATTAACTCAGATTCAGACTAGTATCCTGGCTATAACTATGTCTTGTTTTTCATTCAGATGAGTATAGCATTAAAGACAAGTATGGGAAATATGTGTTAGTAAAGCATGACAGCACTTTTGGTAGTTTCTAATGCTGTTTTTTTCAATGTGCCACATCTGAAGCTGAAACTTCTTAGATATCAAGAGCAGTTTGGAGTATCAGACCAAAGTTAAAATTTACCTCTTGCAGAGCACAGCATGCAGCCTGTCAGAAACTACAAAAATGAATGTCATCTGGGAAAAAGTTAAAGCTTATGGGAAAATCTATTATACAGTAAAATATGAAACTTTATAGTGCTGTTGTGCTGTAGTAAAATCCAATGGTGTGCAGGAAGTTTGACAGTAAAACTAAACTGCCATCTTTCAAATAAGGAATTAAATCGATGTCTAACTACTCTTGGCAAGTGAATTGCTTTTCAGAGTTATAAGTATCTTAAGCTATGTCTACACTGCACTTTCATCGTTAAAACTTTTTTCGCTCAGGGGTATAAAACATCACCCCCCTGAACGACAAGAGTTTCAACGACAAAACGCGCCGGTGTGGACAGCACTTCATCGGTGGAAAACGCTCTCCTTGTGATGAAGCTACCGCCCCTCGTTGGAGGTGGTGTTATTTTGTTGCCAGGAGAGCTCTCTCCCAGGGACAAAGAGCAGCTACGCTGCGTACCTTACAAAGGTGCGGCTGCGGTGGCACAGCCATGGCATTGTAAGGTACTCAGTATAGACATAGCCTTAGAATCATTGTCATGACCAAATTCAAGTCTGGGTATCTACATTCTGTCTACCTAAAGTCGTCTTGCAGTTTCAATTGGGTATCGTATTTTTCTTTACTTCTTATCCTAACCTGTGAGATAGTGTTGCTATACTCTATTAACTTCATTGTCTTCCTTCCCAGAGTGGGTGGCTGTTTTTCAATAGTTGATTTTGTTTATAAAATGTGTGGGCATCCTTTGAGATAAAAAGCACTGTGTAAATTTATTATACTATGAAGGCATGGGTACTGTATCGTGTAGGAGACTCAGGCACAAGTTCAGTTAATTATAATGTGTTGTGCTTGTGTTGCATATTACAAAGGGTCCCCTTGATGACTTTAGTTGTCTAGCAAACACTGTCATTTATCCATTTCTTTGATTTAAAAAGTCTCAAAATAGAAGATTTTATTTGAGGGGTGGTAAAAAAGATACTGTTTTGTCAAGATAGTTTTAAATTTGGCTGCATTAGAGCCAGGATCTGAGATGTAAGATTTCTTTTAAAGGACCGATTAAAAGTATATATTAAAATATTTTCACAGCTTTAATTATTTTCAATTAAATTGAGAGAAATATAAGAAAGTGAGTAAAGTAACTTGAAACTTTTTAGATAGAGCATTACAAAGGTTTTACAAAAAGATAAATAAGAAATGGCAGATAGAGACAGGTCAAATTTTGTATCTCCTAATCTAGAGAGTATCCCTTTAACTGTGTGACAGTAAAAGTTTAAAATATGTGGCCAAATCATACTCTATCTATTCACACAAGTAGTAGTCCCATTGATTTGACTTCTAAATCGCTGGGACTAGTCTCTTGAGTAACACAAGCAGAGTTCCATTCTGTACAGCTTGAATATTAAAGTATCACTTCATTTACTCTTGAAATGCAGCCGCATCTGTGGTGTCATTCAGCAGCCATTCTGTGCCAAAAACTCTATACAACAGGCATTTAGAAGGGAAAGGGAGGAATAATTTATTCATATAAATCTCCAGGGTAAATTTAAGTAGGCAAAATGTTATCAGTATCAAGTTATAATTAGGCCATCCCACTTGGGTTAACAAATATGTTATCAGTAGATATAAACACAATGTTGCAAACAAATTAGGATGATTTACATGAAAATCAGCATGCATATATGATTCTCATTAGCATTTCCATATATAGTAGATGTGGTTTGGAATCTAAAACAACTGGAATTTTTTTAATCCTTCTCTTCCTCTATTTAGAATGGTCAACTGGAGTGTGTACGGTGGATGGTGAGCGAAACAGAAGCCATTGCTGAATTAAGTTGCTCAAAAGATCACCCAAGCCTTATTCACTATGCAGGTTCCTATGGTCAGGTATGGTTCCATTTTAAATGAGTTTTTACTTTTTAAAAGAGACTGATTCAATGCTTGCACAAGAATTCCCTTTTATACTGTTCTTCAAGTCAAATGTTTTGCAACAGAAATTACGTTCATTACTAAATGCAACCTCTCTTAATTATTAAATACAAACTTTCTTAATTAGTCAGAATGTTAAGGCGCCATACAACTGCATATTTTAATTAATGTGTTTTAAAATTATTTCTTCTTCTAGTTCCTGCCATCAAGGTGTAAATTATTGGCTGTGGGTAGGGTTAAGTGATGCATTAGGTTGGTACGTTATTCTCTCACCTCTGGTAGAAGAGATTAGTCATCTCATCATGGTCCTAATGGACTTTTGGCCACATCAGAAAACAACCAAGCAATATGGTACAGTTTACATGCTCTTTCCAGGAGGCTACAAGCCTGAAATAATTTGCCAAAAGTGTGACGATTTAGGAATTAGATGCATGGCAATGGTGCAAGGTGTGGGAAAACTTGAATAACATCTGCTTACCTCTAGCCATTTTTATTGAGCTTTATCTAAAAGCACGTTGTAAACTAACCTTATCTTATACTGCACCTAATCGACATATAAATCTAGTGATGGATAACCTTAAAAGGTTCAGTGTTTGGATGCTTCTGCCAGGAATACTGATTTGTGGGGAACTTGGGGGAGGATACACTACTAGATTATACAGTCCTCTGTTACTATAGGGTCCCCTTTCCCCAAATAAGCCCTACAGTGAACCCTCCCCAAAGGACCCCCATCATTCTTGGGTTCTGCTGCATCTTTTGTGGGAAAGAACTAATGGGCTGCTAACCCTGTCGCGCTTCTCTGGTGGATAGGTTACTCTCCCTCCCAATTTCTTCAGGGGTCAGTCAAAGCCTGATGGTCTTCACAGGGGAAGTGCACAAGCCTGTCTAACTGGCCCTATGCATGGAACTGGAAGCATTTCAGAGAATGCTACCATGGAGGTCCTGAACTTTAATCTATTTCTTAGCAGCCTAAATTTAGCTTCCAGGACCTCTCTCCTACTTTTCCCTATGTCATTGATACCTATACGTACTATGACCACTAGCTCCTGCCCAGCAGTGCCCATAAATCTATCTAGCTGTTTTAAGAGGTCCACGACCTTTGCACCTGCTGGCAATTCATCATGCAGTTCTCCCGATCATTACAAACCCAACTATCTCTATTTCTAATAATCAAATCCTCCATTGCTATTACCTGTCTCCAATAATAGAAGTCCCCTATCCCAGAGGGGAATCCTCAGTACAAGAGGATACTCTTGTGGAAGGAGAGTCCCAACTATGCGATTGTTTCCCTCCGCTCCAGCTTGATGTTCTCCTTCCCTGAGATTTTCATCCTCCTCAGCACTGAGGCTGTCAGACCAGGGCTGGGATCGCTCTACGTCCCTGAAAGTCTTGTCTTTTGTATCTCTTTGTCTCCCTTAGCTCCCCCCATTTCAGTCACTCTGGTCTCAAGAGCCTGTACTTGGTCTCTGTGGGCCATGAGTTGCTTGCACCTAATGCACATATACACCAGCTGCCCACAAGGCAGGTAATCATACATGCTTCACTCAGAGCAGTAAACTGGATAGCCCCCACTCTGCTGCTGGACTTTTGCCTGCATTATTTCTCCTCATTTTGTTTGTTCTTTGTTTTTTGAGGGGAGTTTATTGACCTAAGTTTACAGTATGTTTGTTAGGTGTTTTTGGCTCTCACGTTCTCTCTCTAATCTCCCTCACAAAACTCCCCTGTTCACTAGCTCCTCTGATCGCTTGGGAGCAGGCTTTTTAAATCCTTGTTCTCACTGCATTATCTCCGCCCCCTTTTCAAGGGATACTAAAGGGATCAGAAATTAAAGTTTTGCAGGCTAGAACCTCATTAGGAAGCTCTCAGCCTTGCCTGGGAGGCTTCTAGGCTCAGCACATAGCCCCCAAAACAGACGACACTATAAACTCAAATCAAGCAGGCACACAACAGACAAACTGACAGACCATAAACTCACCCCAATAATCACGTAGTCACTCCTTCTTCATCTGGAGCAGCATGTCATGGAAGGATGCATATCATGACTGACATATGCTTAGAACTTTTTGTTTTGGGAAATTTAGATTTTTTTTTTTTTAATAATGTGACAGACCCAGACCAGTGGGGTACAGGAGTCTGGCAGAGGGCAAATATACTGGTCACTGGATGAGTAGTTTTCTGTTCCCTGAGTGACCAGAGCAGGGGCTGTACTAGAGTAATCAGGAACCTGCTAGAACCAGTTAAGGCAGGCAGGCTAATTAGGACACCTGGAGCCAATTAAGAAGAAGCTGCTAGAATCAATTAAGGCAGGCTAATCAGGGCACCTGGGTTTTAAAAAGGAGCTCACTTCAGTTTGTGGTGGGAGTGTGAGGCGCTGAGAGCAAGAGGCGCAAGGAGCTGAGAGTGAGAGGGTGTGCTGCTGGAGGACTGAGGAGCACAAGCGTTATCAGACACCAGGAGGAAGGTCCTGTGGTGAGAATAAGGAAGGTGTTTGGAGGAGGCCATGGGGAAGTAGCCCAGGGAGTTGTAGCTGTCATGCAGCTGTTACAAGAGGCACTATAGACAGCTGCAGTCCACAGGGCCCTGGGCTGGAACCCGGAGTAGAGGGCGGGCCTGGGTTCCCCCCAAACCTCCCAATTGACCTGGACTGTGGGTTCTCCCAGAGGGGAAGGTCTCTGTGCTGTTCCCCAACCCACATGGTGAATCTCTGAGGCAAGAAAATCCGCCAATAAGTGCAGGACCCACCAAGATAGAGGAGGAACTTTGTCACAATAATTAGATCTGGCATTCTACAAGTGTAGGTTAACCTTAATAACTATTGCAAGTGGATGATAGTCACAAGCCTTGAAAATATCAGATATAACTGATCAATATCTATAGTCTATTGCAGATGTGAATCACATTTATGATTATTTTACATTACCCAAATCTTATAGATTTTGCCTGTTATCATCCTTCATTTTCTTTGAATTAATTTAGTTGAAAAACATCTCTATTTTCTGTGCATTTCCAAGAATCTTCATCTTCAAAATACACCAAATGATTTCTTGGACACCGAAACAGCCTTTTGGCGTTCAAGAATTCATTTTTCATCTGTATTACTCAAACATTCAGTTAATTTATCTACATATGCCATTTGGGGGTATACCTATTGAAGAGTGTAGTCATTTGAGATATGGAAGTTATTTTAATGTTTAAAAATATTAACAGTAAGTTACCTAGAACTAAAATCTAGGGGCAAACATTTAAATGGGCTTGAACCTGGCCTCTAATTTTGTGCTTGCAATCCGCTACTGGTACAAATGATAGCATTTGATTTTTAGGTACAATCAGATGATAAATAGGTGACTAAATAGCATAATTTTCACCATGCTAATTGGAGGGACAGAATTTGAGGATAGCTTCCAAAGTTTGGACGTTAATATTCACCAGAGCAGTTTATATAAGAACATTTCTAAACTAAAATTGTTTTTAATCCTATACAAGCATTTCTCTAAAATACTTATTGTACTTTTGTTTTCTAATAATTAAAATTTAAGGGCACTACCCAGCAAAAGGATAGTCCTTCACCATTGTTGGGCAACACCGCACGCATCCACAGAGATTGTTCTGAGGAAGAATTTTAAAGGGGATACATGAACTGAAAACAGGGTCTTATGAGAAGTTTCAAGCAACGTTAATAATAGGCAGTGTTACCAGTGCCATCTCTAATAAGTTTTGCTTTTGTTTTATTTCTTTCTTAATTTTTTTCCCTAGGAGAAAATACTTCTGTGGCTTCTCCAGTTTATGCAAGAACAAGGGATTTCTTTGGATGAAGTTGACCAGGATGGTAACAGTGCAGTACATATAGCTGCCCAGCATGGCTATTTAGGATGTATACAGGTAGAGTACTAACTACACTTATTTCAGAGAGCTCCTTTAAATTTAAAAATCTGCAGATTAAAAGCCCTTAATATCAAAATGGAGAACCTTATAGGTAAGAAATAAATCCTTATAATAAAACAATACTAAAACCATAAAAAAGCTTGAACAAGTAAGGCCTCAAAGTGAAACTTCTAAAAACTTATGTACCTTAAGTGCTAAACTCCACTCTGTTATACTCGTGTAAATCCAAAGTAATTCTGTTGTAATGAGACTAGGAATTCAGTCCTTAATTCTTGACAGTTTTTTTTAATTGATACAAAGAAAAATAACATGACTCCATGTGCATTAAGATGAGACTACCCCTAAATGAGTTAATGAACTTCTAAAGAGCTGAAAGGGACTCTGTCAGGATTGATAGGCATACTCTGGCATTGACATCTTTTGAAAGTTCTTACCTTTCTGATGCTTGCCATCTATTTCTCTTTCGAGCAAACCATTGCAACTATCCAGAAGGAGGGAAAAACCATGAACAGCCAGGGTGCACTATGATGAACGACAGCATGCTGAGCAAGCTGCAGCATTGCACAGTCTTAATCCCTGGGGATCATTAGAAGCATTGTGCACAAGAATGGATTCTAGTGTTCAGTGCTGCTAGCACTTCTTGTGTTAGGCAGCCAAAATTGTTGACAGGATGAATAATGGATGGGGAAAGAATTAGTCTAAATGGATGGCAAAGGGATTGTGTGGAAAAGCAGAGTGAGAAAGATATTGGTCAGAAAGGAAGGAGAATAGAGAGAAGAGGAAAAGAAAAGATCAGCTACATGGGTGGAAGATAAAAACCAGAAGCCAAGATGGGAAAAAGAAGATACGGGGACAAGAGGAAGAGAGAGACAGAGAAAATATATCTGACCAGTAGTAGTCTTTTTTGAGAATCATAGACAAGGAGTGCTAATTTCAGGAAAGTCATTTCAGGCATCTGTACGTAGTAAGAACAATAGGGGAAAATTGAACCAGCAGACGTTGAGGTAAGAAATCGATCAAACAGATTCAGAGACATGACCATTACAAAACTTTGATTCCTGAATTTTCTTGTTAGTGATATGCTGTCCTGCTTTGAAAGACATCAGGAGTGGACCCTGCCCAGTTTATTGTGAGAGTCACATTAAACGAATCAGCGCACATGCGCAATCCCTATCTTAGTGTTTTTGTTATTATTTTTCAGATAGTTGCAACGATCAGTTGGAAAAGAAATAGATGGAAGGAATGCGAAAGGTGTAGGACCTACCAGATGGGAGCACTGTCATGGTAGGTCAATGTTTAAGGCTACCAACTTTGACAGTGTCCCTTAGAGCTGTGCAATAAATTGTGAAAGAGTAGTGATTAGCAAATGATTTTGCATGGAACAGTAACAATTCCAGTCCATTCTGGGAAATGAAGTTAAATGGAAGCAAGACTAGTCCCGTTTCCCTTCTGAAGAGTTAACTTGAATAAATTGTCCTGAATTTTTGAAAATATTTTTTTATCTGATAAATAAACCAGTAGGGGAAAACCTGGCAATTACAGACCAGTAAGCTTTATATCAGTACCAGGAAAATTGATTGAAATAATAATTAAACAGATTTTTTTTTAAAAAAGCACAGCTTCTGTAAAGGAAAGTTGTGCCACTCCCATCTACTAGAGTTCTTCGAGTGTGTCTGTCACCCCTCTGAGTCTGCCACACCTTCCATCTCCAACATGCTCCTATGCCAAGGGACCAGGACAGAAAGCTAGCTACGTTGACCTTATTATACCCAGGGATTCCCTGTGCCAGGGAAAACCCAGCTGAGCTGAAAAGCTCAGATCGGTAATTTCATAGTAAGGCATTCTTAAAATCAGGCTAGTTGGTCACTCACAGAAAAAGACAGATTTTGTACAAGTGCATTTGAAAAAGGCTTATTGTATTATCACCAGAGGTGAAAGTAGGCCGGTACGGCGTACCAGTAAGAAGTGGAAACTGGCAGCGCTTTAACGTTGCTGCCCCTTTTTCCGCCCCCCACCCAGGGGCAGCCGACGGGGGGGGGGAGGGGGCAAAAGGGGAAGCTTCCCCGGGGCCCCGGGCTCCTAGCTACCACAGCAGCGGCCAGAGCCCTGGGCCATTTAAATCACCGCTGGAGCCCCCGGGGAGCATGGGCCAACCAGCGTGGAAGGGCTGGCTGTGGGAGGCTGACCCCAAGGCCCCACCCCTTCCGCCCAAGGCCCCGCCCCTTCCGGGGACCCAGAGCCAGGCCCCCATACCGGTAAGTATTTTATCTTACTTTCACCCCTTATCACAAGCAAAATTTGGCAGGTGTCCAAATGTAAACACTTTTCATTCACTAATCTCAATCCCAGAGTATACTTTAGATTTAAAACCCATTATAAAAGTTACATTACACAAACAAAGTAACAAAAGGTGTAAAATCAAGTTAACTGTGGGACAGGAAAAGCAAGAGGGGGGAAATATATCATCTGGTGTCTATAATCATATGAAGGGATAGCTCAGTATTCTAAATTACTCCTGTTCCCCATTATTAACTTTGGGCACGTCTTCACTACCCGCTGGATCGGCGGGTAGCAATCGATCTATTGGGGATCGACTTATCTCATCTAGTGAAGATGTGATAAAATCGATCCCTGATCGCTCTGCCGTTGACTTTGGAAATCCACCGCAGCAAGAGGTGGCAGCAGAGTCGACGGTGGCGCGGCTGCGGTCGACTTGCCGCCGTCCTCACAGCCAGGTAAGTCGACCTAAAATACGCAACTTCAGCTACGCTATTCACGTAGCTGAAGTTGTATATCTTAGGTCGACCCCCCCGCTGTAGTGTAGACCTAGCCTCAGATTGTCGAGTTAGGAGCTCTGACTTACTGAAGAGTTATTTGTATGGATGATTTTTAAAAATAATTTAGACCAAGATTTTCAAAACTGTGTGCCTGAAGTCAGGGTTCTAAATTCAGTTTTAGGAACCTTAGTAGGAATACTCAGCAGTTCCCATTGACTTGAAAATCTTTGCCTTAGTTTATAGCAGAGATTTTAAAGACACTTACAGCTACTCGTGTTCTTTCTACATCTTCGCAGACATTGGTTGAATATGGAGCAAATGTCACCATGCAAAACCGTGCTGGAGAGAAACCTTCACAAAGTGCTGAACGACATGGACACACCATGTGTTCCCGTTACTTAGTGGTTGTGGAGACATGCATGTCATTGGCATCTCAGGTTGTCAAGTTAACTAAACAACTAAAGGAGTAAGTGTCTAATTCATAAGGGTGGGACAGTGGCTACACCGGGATTGTTCTCAAAACAAGTCTCTCCCTTGTCTTCAGTTTATTAACTAGGTCCCTCTGCTTCCTCTACATTAAAATTAGTCAATTAACACTTTCCCCTTCTTTCTCCATCCACCACCATACTCTTTCAAACTCTAATCAATCTGCTCCTTCATCTTTAGCTGCTTAGCTCTTCTACTAATCTTGGTGAAAGTTTGCTGTTATTATGCAGGCATGAGTATGAGTGACGATATCTGTGTATTTATGTGTGTGTAAGTAATCACCTTATACCTGTCTCCTTAAAAGCCTAAGGACCACATGATTTCTAATCTTATTTTTCTAGTCACTTAGCATACATTTAGATAATTAAAACGGTTATTTGCAATTACAGTGTTGGATGTTGAAATATGTGGAACAATATTGTGAGGAATAATGAAAATAGTAGTTGGAAAATCTTTGGGTCTTGGAAATACAATATTTCCAGAATAGCTATGTTCTGTTTTTTTCTGCATATGACCAAGTTTGAGCCCATCACTATGACTCGTAGCAAATGAATTAGCTACAAGGGCCTGATTTTCAAAATGTTAGATGTGCGATAGCATGACTATATTGTGTAAGCCGTTATTGTGATTGAATGTCCCCTTAGGGCGAATTTTCAAAAGCACTCAGTATTGGCCTAACTTGGCTCCCATTGAGATCAGAGGTAATATTAGACTCAAAATGAACACTGAAAATCCAGCTCTTAGTGCACACCATATCCCATTTACACATGCAAACATGGAAAAATGGGTCACATGATTTATGTGGTCAATAACAAACCTATTGTCTTGAGAATCAGGGTCAAAATGTTTTACTGAATATTTATTCTTCCTTTAAGTACATGTGTATCTGCCACATAGGACTTTTTATATATAACAAAAAGACTTTACAGTAGCAACTTGCCTCCTTTATCATTACAGAACACTTCCGTTCATTTGAGGTATTTTGTTTTTGTGTACATATATGCAAATGTGTGTATACTTGTATTATTGAAACATCTCAGTTAGTTACAGTTTACATTTTAGACACACACTGTAATGACCCCACGTGTCTTGAACCTGCAAGATTGCTAGTCAACTGACACCTCCCTGGCTCACACCCAGTTGATCACTACTTGCTGACCAAATGGAGAGAACAAGAAACCAGAAGACATCACTGAGGCCTCTTCTGGGCCCTGATTGGAGGAACACCGGGATCTCTAATTGGTCCGGGCCAGGGCCGGCTCCAGGCACCAGGCACCCAAGCTGGTGCTTGGGGCGGCACCTGGAGGGGGGGCGGCGCGGCCCTCCGGCCGCCGGGGAGAGCGGGGCCACAGCCGGGCTCGCCGCCCTCCCCCCGGCGCTCTGGCCGCCAGGGGGAGAGCCGAGCCCCCGCTGGGGCTCGCGGCCCTGCCCCCGGCGCTCTGGCCGCCGGGCGGGGGGAGAGCCGAGCCCCCGCCGGGGCTTGCCGCCCTCCTCCCAGGGCTCCGGCCACCCTCCCCTCCGGCGCCCTCCCCCCGGCCGCTGGGGGGAGAGCGGAGCCCCCGCCGGGGCTCCGGCCGCC